CTTCTTTGCTGCGGACTCCCTTTCCTGCCTTCAAGGCCTGGTGTCTCCCACTATGAGCCCAGCCCTCCCACCCACCATTCCTTCGGACCTAGACCCACCTTCCCCTTGCCTCTATGAACCACTGCTGGGCCCAGCCCCTGTCCCGGCTCCTGACCTGCACTTCCTGTTGGACTCAGGCCTACAGCTCCCTGCCCAGCGAGCTGCTTCAGCCACTGCCTCCCCCTTCTTCCGGGCCCTGCTGTCTGGCAGCTTTGCTGAAGCCCAGATGGACCTGGTGCCACTGCGAGGCTTGTCACCCAGTGCAGCCTGGCCTATCCTGCATCACCTGCATGGCTGCCGGGGCTGTGGGGCTGCCCTGGGGCCTGTGCCCCCGCCAGGCCAGCCCCTGCTGGGTTCAGAGGCTGAGGAGGCACTAGAGGCTGCTGGCCGTTTCCTGCTTCCTGGGCTGGAGGAGGAGCTGGAAGAGGCTGTGGGCCGCATCCACCTGGGGCCCCAGGGTGGTCCAGAGTCAGTGGGTGAAGTATTCCGCCTGGGTCGGCCCCGGCTGGCCGCCCACTGCGCCCGCTGGACACTGGGGCCGGGGCAGTGTCCTCGGAAGCGGGCTCTGGCCCTGGTGGGGCTTGTGGAGGCAGCAGGTGAGGAGGCAGGACCCCTGACTGAGGCCCTGCTGGCCGTGGTGATGGGGATCGAATCAGGGGCAAGGGTCCCAGCCTAGACCATTGATGTCCCCTGGGAGGGGACCCCAGGACAGGTTGGCTGTGAAGGATGCCTTACTCAGAGTGGCACAGGAGGAGGCTGAGCGCACGGAGTCATCATCGAGGACCAATGAGAAGATGGAACCAAGTCCCAGGATGATGGTCTAAAGACCCTGGAGCAAGAGCCGAGAGCAGGGTGGGCGTGGGGCCCAGGAGAGCAGCCCGGGCCCCAAGTGCCTGGCCTGGCCCAGCCGTCTGGAGTCGGAGATTAAAAGCTGGAGTTGGCAGCCTGTTGTGTCATGTCTGCTTGCTTTCCTGTGGGACGACTCCTACCCTCTCATCCACAAAGCTGGGTCTATCCAGGTCTCTGGGTCTTAACCCAGGCCACCGTTGGCATGTCAGAGTTTAATAAGTCCTTGTCCAGTAGGCCCTGGGAGAGGACGGGGTTCTCAGGCATCTCCCTCGGATGTGGTTTAGGGCCCCAGGGGAAGCCTGCTTCCTGCTCACAGGGTCTCTTCCAGCTGGACATGTAGCCCTTGGTCAGGGCAGTGCTGGGGGATGCTGGGAGTGTGGGGAAGTGTGTCTAAAGCCTTGGCATTGATGTGTTCTGACTGTCACCCATCTTTGACGCACAGTCTCTGGGCCTTTTTTTTTGGAGAGGTTTTTGCTATAGGGCACGTGCACAGAAAGAGAGACAGAAAGTGGGATAGCACCCCCCAGGGGGGATGGCCATGCTGCAGTCCCTTCTTCATTCTCTTCCCGGGATCCTAGGCACACGCGCCTGGCGTGAGTTTAAGCCACCAGGTCCAGGACTCGAACTGCAGTCGACTACTTGGGAGTCCAGCGACGTAATCATTATGCCAACTGCTGGTCCCTCTGGGTCTATTTTTTTGTGCCAGGCCAGGTGTCTTACTGCTGTTGACCTGAGGGAAGACCTGCAGCCTTCAGGAGAGTCTGAGGCTCAGTCTCCATACCCAGAGAGAGCTGAAGGGAGGAAAGTGTTCATGTTGCGTGGGTCTCAGCCTGGGGGCTCCATCACTGACTCAGATGCTCAGCCTCTATGGGTGGCAGCCTGACCTTGAGGACAGCCCCGAAATGGATCTTCCAGGATTTGCTTCTGGACCTAGGGTTGGCATTTGCTATCAATCTGCCTCTGGGTGTCCATCCAGGTTTCTGGTTTTCAGGCTGTACGTTAGAACCACACAGAGTGCTTTTCTTTTCTTTTTTTTTTTTTTAAGGGGGTTTGTTTTTTGAGAGGTTTTTTGCTCTAGGGTGTGTGCGCTCGCCAGACAGAGACACAGAGACAGAAAGCGAGAAATCACCCCCCAGGGGGGATGGTCATACCACAATCCCTTCTCCTCCATTCTCCTCTCGGGATCTTGGGCACGCATGCACACGCGCCCGGCGTGAGTTTTAAGCCACTTGGTCCGGGACGCGAACTGTGGTGGACTACGTGGGAGTCCAGTGACACAGCCATTACGCTAACTGCTGGTTCCCACACAGAGTGCTTTTTAAACACACTGATGGGGGTCGGCAGGTGGCATGGTGGTTAAGGGCACTGGATTCCCACATAGCTGACCGCAGTTCAAGTCCTGAACCTGGCAGGTTTCTTTCTCGCTTTCCCTTTCTCTCTCTCTCTCTGTCTGGCCAAATTAAAAAAATAATAACAAATGTAATTAAATAAATAATTCTTTAAGAAAATACTGATACCAGGGCCAGCAGATGGCATAGTGGTCAAGGTGCTGGACTCCCACATGGTCAACTGCTGTTTGAGTCCCTGACCTAGAAGCTTGAAACTCATGCCAGGCACCTGTGTGTGCATGCCCAAAAATCCAAGAGGAGAATGGAGAAGAAGGGATTGTGGCATGACCATCTCCCCTGGGGAGTGATTTCTCTCTCTATCTCTCATTCTCTTTTTTTTCAGCAAGCCCACAAGCCCTATAGAAAAAAATTTACACACACACACACACACACACACACACACACACATTTTTGAGAGATTTTTGCAATAGGGCATGTGAACTTGCCAGAAAAACAGAAAGAGAGAAATAACCATAGAGGGGATGGCCACACCCCAGTCCCTTCTACATTCTCCTCTCAGGATTTTGGGCATGCACATACACAAGTCCAGCATGAGTTTCAAGCCTCTGGGTCCAGGACTCAGACCGGAGTCAACCATGTGGGAGTCCAGCACCTTAGCCACTACACCACCTGCTGGCCCTGGGGATCAGTATATATTTTTTCTTTTTTTGGAGAGGTTTTTGCTATAGGGTGCATGCACTCACCAGAAAGAGAGACAGAGAAATCACCCCCCAGGGGGGATGACCATGTCGCAATCCCTTCTCCATTCTCCTCTCGGGATCTTGGGCACACACGCACGCACACGCGCCCGGTGTGAGTTTAAGTCACCGGGTCCAGAACTTGAACCACGGTCAACTACATGGGAGTCCAGCGACATAGCCATTACACTAACTGCTGGTCCCTGGGGGTCAGTATTTTTGAAAAGCTCCCCAGGTCATCCTGAGTTGAGATCCACAGGACCACAGTCCAGAGCTCAGGCCTGTGGATCACAGTGGCAGCAGCACAGTTCTTGTCTGTCTGTACGCACCTCTCCACCTAGATTTCTCAGGATCTCAGTCTAGGAATGGTTACTTTGTAGCAAGAATTTGTATCTTGCTTTCTCTGTGTTCATTAGTTTCTTAGGGAAGGGCTGTTGGGGAACAGGGCCCGGGGCCACCTCAGTAGGGCCAGGCTGGCTGGGGTTTGGCTTCCTGACAGTGTTTTCCCTGAGTCTGCACAGAGCCTGGGTTCCAGTTTACCGTGTCTGTCGATCTATTTCCAAGTCTCAGAGGGGAAATCCTAGCTTACAGTGCATGGTGGTGGGTTCCTGGCCTGCCTCTTTGTGTCTAGTATATGTGCCTTTTGGGATATGCTGGGGGTCATCTGGCAGTCTCCCATGAAAGGCCTCTGAGCCTAGGGTCTGACCAATCCTTACAATATCACTCTGGCCCCCAAACCCGAAATTCTGTCTGAGATGACTCTCAGGCAAGCCTGGGGAGGAGGGGGTCTCTGTCTAGTACTCGGGTGCAGGCTTTCGGAGATGCCTGTTTGAGGAGCCCAAGTCTGTCTGACTCTCATCAGACAGGGGCTCTGGGGCTTGGTCTGCCACAGCCACTTCTCTGGCTCTGGCCGCCTGGGGCTCCCTGCAGCTGAAGCCAAGGCTGGGGTGTGGCTGCCTCCGCGGCAGGCCGGCGGGCTGGGCTTGGGTGGGCCGTGGCACATACTCCCTTCCACGCCCCCACCCCGGGTTCCCCCTTTCTTC